CACAACTTGTTTATAGGCCAAAGAAAAGCCACTATTAACTCCACTGCAAAAGAAAAATCGGCTTGGATGGGCTAAAGAACATAGACAATAGACACCTCAACAATCGTGTGCAATACAATAGAGTGAAGAGGCCCGATTCGAAGTTTGTGTTGGTGACAGTCGCAGTAGAGTTATTCGCAAAAAAATGAAGCATTCCATGTTGACTGTCTGAAGAGAAAAGTGAAATTTCCAGCATCCATTATGGTCTGGGGCAGTATGTCATCAAAAGGAGTAGGAAAACTTCATTTGATTGATGAAAATGTGGATACAAACAAATATTTGTCAATTTTAGAAGACTCGCTTTTACCAGTGATGGAAGAATGTTTGACATCCGGCCAAGATTTTGTGTTTCAGCAAGATGGTGCAGCGTGCCATACCTCAAAAAAGGCTATAACATGGATGGAAGAAAATAATGTACCACTTTTGAAATGGGTTTCTAGCGGTCCAGATCTGTCACCTATTGAAACTTTGTGGCACGAGATGAGAAAGGTTCTACGACAACATCCTGCTCGTACAATCACCGAACTGAGACAAAAAACTTGGTTAACACTATGCCCCAAAGAATATCAGCCGTAATAAAAAATAAAGGTCTAAGTAATTTCAAATATGTATTTTTTACGACTAGAGTGTATCTAAAATGTTTTTGAGAAAATAAATTGTTTTAGAAGTTTATATGTGGCATATTTTTTTACAAATCTTGAAGTGGGCCAACTGAAGAGGGAAGGGGCTCGTAGATAGAAGCAGACTCTGCAAAAAGTTTTACCTCTCTCCTCCTCATCCCTACATTGACAATTTGATTTAGAAGATCTACTAGAGCTTGCGCAGTAGCGTGCGTTTTTTTGCTGCTCTCTTCCTTTTCGGTACTAAGGTTTAGTGAAGTACTTCTTGCCATTTCACTTCCAATACCTATTACCGAGGAAGGCTGAAGAGGATATGTTTGCCTTCTGTGCCTAACCAACGTTGTTTCATGCTTTTTTGCAATCATAAGGGCGGTATAAGTCTATGGCCATTGGAAACAGACAACGGATAGCATCCAAGCAAATATGGGTCTGCTGAAAGACGTAGTATGGCAGTGAAAAAAAATCGCGATCGAGATATGTTTCTTGGATCTTACGTGACAGAAAAGGGTGTGTCTCATTTTTATCCACCTATTTATCTGTCGACAGCATCCAGAAAGCGCCATTTGAATTTATTATCATCATATTATTTCTGCGATAAATGTCACAGGAATGGAATTAAGAATCGACAATGACATACTCGAGCTCTTTTAGTCGCCCCTAAAACTAACTGTCAACGAATCATAGACCCTTCCTTGAGTTAAGAATTACAACCAATGTTTAAAAGTGATACTGCAACGTGAACACGGGTAAGCGTTCAAAGTGGCACTTTTTGAGATATAACGTTTTACCAGACGTGCGGCGATGTAGTCACTGTCGCATTCAAAACTAAAGATGATGTTCCTGTTGCAGCTAGACAAATTCATGCCAGATATACTTTATGACACTTTTTCTGATGAAAGTTTTCTATATTAGATAGCGTTTCTATGACTAGAATTTTCTCCCGGACGAGTAGCCAAACAACCATAGAATCCTAGCGCTTAGAATGTTTTGTGTACCTAGGTTTAAGCTCTTTAGCTGCTTCCACCCCACCACTGTCCGCTCCTTAATATGGTTTTCTCGTCGCGTCTGTCCGGCTGATGCTTGAATAATTTCCATTTGCCGCTGGCGTGTCAGTGAATGAAAAAGGAATATGTAATTGTTGGCATCCTGACGCGAATGGACGAATACCGATGAGCCTCTTCGACGACAATACCATCAATCTGCCTGCCACTACCAGCAGTCCTGCTCCAAGGCGTTTCTATTCTATAGTACAGTCAAAAAATCCTTTAACTCGGTATTAGTCAATACATAAATCTCTTTTACTTATTGAACTGTATCATAACGATAGCCTCCGCAAAATAAATCAAAAATACAAAATAAAATGGTACACTTATACAGCAATATCGGAGTCGGACGTGCTATTTTAATTTACGGTGTGTGTCTTCGTAATGCTACCGATGCTTCTCGAGTGCATGCAGATCGTTTTTCAAAATCCATCGTTAAGTGTATAAAACTAAGGTGAACACAATTGATAGAGTAGACTGTGTTGGTTAAGCCAAGCAAGGGTTGACAAGTTCTCACCCAACATATCTTGAAAATCACACCATCTGAAATGATTTGGCAACGTAGCACACGCCTTACAAAAGAATTTTCGTTCCATCATTCTACACGGACACTGCTAACCTTCGGCCATATGTCGAAAGGTTCATCTTACTCATGATTCCATGTCCACCATTTTGTGCGATCATCAAGTGGCTTCACGATGTAATGCTTAACTTTCGTTTTAAATATTTTTTAATCTGTTTTTAACTTGTTCTTGTCATACAGCTGTGTAGAGTTTGTATAATTTTATAATTTTTTTTGTATAAATTAACGTAAACAACAATTAGCAACATCCTCACATACTACTGTAAGTTAATTTAAATTCATTTTACACTATTGTTGCTACTGTTATCAATGTAATTGCAGCTCCTGATGATGATGGCAAAGACCATTGAAAGCTAGAGAGAATAAAAAAAGTATAAAGAGTCCTCCTTGCTTAAATTTTGTCGAAGTACCCAACAAAAGGCGGAAGCTTTAATATTTCAACTATATATATATATATACTGCTTTCTGCTCTACATGCTTCTAGATTGTAAGCACAGGTTTACCTACTGGTAAGTGTAAATCCGAGTATATAAAATGTTTGCTCTTTCGAAAAATCCTCCCGAAGTCAATACAAACAGGTACTTCGGTCATAATTCATTCATCTGGGACTAACCAAGTTCAGCCGGATGTAATAACACCGTGCATCGGCTTTACCGATAAAAAGGCACGCCGTGGTAACAGTGGCGTACGAATACGTGTTAAGCTACTCTCTTCCGTTTTGGTACTCAAATATAGATGACAGCAGTCACCTCCTGTCAGCGTACTGAGTAGAGTAATATCAAACAATGTAATTGCAGAATTTCAGATAGGGTGACTCGTCGTAAATGACATACGCAGTGGTATGAATTACCAAGAATTTCAATCTCACTGCCACCATACATTTTCGTCTTCATAACAGCTGCCCCTATGGTTTAAAATGCTGCAAGAGTTCGCTGACGCGTGCAAAATGCAATTTCGCATACTCCATCAGAAGCAGCGTCAAAAACTGGACGTCAGTCTTTGAAATAAAACGGCTTCCGGAGTAAACGACCTAAAATTAGCGAGCTATCAGACGTCCCACATTCATCTTCCCGAATGAAATTCCCGTATGAACCCGAGTGGCTTTCTGGCGTTTAGTCGACAGACAAATTGATAACGTCTCTCTGGAGTTGCGCTCTTCTATAGCCGTATGGCTGTCCAAGCTTCTGAGTAGCTCTGTAACTAGCAAAAAATAATTCGTGGTTTTCACACAGTTCGAACGCCACCTACGAAGGAATAGCTAATAATTCTACATCAATACAGGGTGTCTCAATTTTTCATGGATATGACACGTATTTTTAGACTCAAAACAAGTCTATTGGACGATATTTAACACTATGCAAAAGTGCTTCGTATATCCATTAGAGGGCGTCAAAATCTTCTTTTTTAAACACATTTTTCAATATATTTTCGGAACCGATAGCCCGATTTGAATGAAATTAAGAACATATGTTTTGCTAGAAGTGCCAATATTTGATTTTTACGAAACACTCTAAAGGGTTAGAGAAGGGCGAAGACCACCCAGACCCCAATTATAGAAGTTTTTCGACTCTTTATTTAGCAATCTTTTTATGTAGGTACTTCATTTCTTGTCAACTATAAAACCAGGATAGTTTTAGAGAAAAAAAGTGAGTTGCATCAAGAGGTTCCCAAATGTCTTAATAATTCTTTAAGTGTAGTTAGCGAAAATAAACAAGTATGATACCTATTACTTATTACAATTTTATTTAATACAGACAGTGCAAATCTTTCATAAAAGGCAAGATGACCACCATTTTCGTTCTTGCACAAAACAATACGGCGCAAAAAAATTACACTTGATGTAACAAGAAAGTTTTTTTAGAAACCAGTTCCAAAAATCATTTCTTTCGATAAGACTACACGAGATGGCCTATTTTTATGAGACACAACATGCAATAAAAACGTATCTTTTAGATAAAAAAAATTCAGAGCCATTGAGAGAATTGCGGAAAAATTCTGGGATAATTTAATTATTTGATATATCATAATATTTAATATTTATAATTTAGGGCGGAGTATTTTTCACCCTTCTCGAACCCTTTCGTTTTTTTGTAAAAGTCAAATATTAGGATGTCTAGAAAAACGCATGTGTTCCAAATGTCATATTTGCTCTGGACATTCAATCTTCTGCAGATGATTCTAGTATGATACATATACGTAGTTAATATGTTATGACAATTGCCTATTAGTTCCATGAACCGAATTTACTTCCGCATTAAACAGTGTAGGTGATAATCAAAGGGCATCTCCTCACACGCGTGATGGCTATAATGGGCCCTTTGTGTGCACAATATGCTGTTAATTTATTATCTACAACATAGCAGGGTGATGACTTGCTCATTATCTACGCAGTCGATCAAAATGTATATGGGTCATCATAACCTGGATCAGTTTACAGTTAACTGCACAAGCAACATCCCAGAACAGTGGGACAGAGGCACAGTGTGGCGGCCAATGGACAAAATTACTCAAAAACATAATTTTTGACATTAGAATTATGTTGCTTTTATTATACCATTGGATAGATAAATAGTCACTGCAACACGTAAGTACTATATAGTACTTTAATCAAATTGGCTGCGATTTACCTATTTTAGCAACTTTAAAGTTATACATGTCGAGACCTGTCAAGAAGGCGAAAAATCTCTGTTTTATTGCTCGGGAAAGATATAAATTTTGTGTCGAAATATTTAAATATTTTAACTTTTCCAATATGGCTGGTAATGAGGCTGGTAAGTACATTATATTGATGTATAGATTTATTTAAAATATAATTATAATTAGATAATTTCTTAAGTTAAAGTGACTATTACCGATTTTTTTAATTTTTTTTAAACTTTTGACTTTGTTTAGAGTTTCACAAAAATCACCTCCCATCACCCTAAAAATTTTTTATTTATTGTTTATCTGTCCATAGTAAGTTTTGATAAAAAGTTTAAATCACGTCATGCCACGTCTAAGGGAGATATAATTTTTTTTAGGACATGGTGCTATTGTCAGAAATAGAGATTTGATTGATGTGTGGATAGAAGCACCGAGAGGAAATAGAAAACAGGTGGTTTATGAAAAGATATTATCTCTTATTGATATAACAGATGAACCTTCCAAATATCTTAAAAGTAATATTATGAAATGCAGCCAGTTGTTTGGGTTGAAAATGGCAAATAAATGGCAGAAAGTAGGACAATCTCGGAATCGACTTTTACAAAATCAGGTATATTGGTTAGACAAGATTATATATAGAATAAATAATGATTCTGAAGAAAACACATCTTCGGATGAGGAACAAGAACCACCTTGTCGCTCGGTTGGACGGCCACGGGTGCCATTTGAAGAGGCATCGAAGAAAACAAAACGAAGACGTGTAGCCGAACTAACCACAGACAGATCTGCAAATGAACTTCAATTTGCTGTAAATGTCGTTTCTGGAAGCAATCACAGTGAGGTCTCGCCACAAATTTTTAGTTTTAGTACAGCTGAAGCTTTAGCCCTTATGGTAGATTTGGATATATCCGTAAGAAAGTATTTGTTACTTAGGCCCAGAACTGCCTTCCTAGTTATAAAGAATTACAGAAAACAAAAAATGCTATCCTCCCTTCACAATTTATTATTACTGAAATTTCTGCAGAAGTTGATTTGCAAGAACTTCTACAGAAAACAGCTGAAAGTATCCTTGAAATAACAAATTTTGAAGAGAGAGATTGCCGGATTAAAGTGATATGCAAGTGGGGATTTGATGGCAGCTCTGGGCATAGCCAATATAAGCAGAAATTTTCTGATTTAGAAAACACGGACGAATTTCTGTTTTTTGTAGCAATGACGCCACTCAGATTGATTGATATGGAAACGAATAAGGTATTGTGGAAAAATGAGAGCCCTTCATCTACTTTATATTGTAGGCCGATCAAGTTTTTATTTAAAAAGGAAAATGCTGATTTAGTGCGGAATACGGAAAAGGAAATAATAACAAAAATTGAAAATTTGATTCCTATTGAGATTAAAACAAAAGAAGGGCACTCTTATATAATTGAAGTTGATATGATGTTAACAATGTTGGACGGCAGTGTTGGAAACGTTCTATCAGAGACAAATTCAACTATGAAGTGCATCATTTGCGGAGCCACACCCAAGGACATGAACACGTTAGCAGGGATTAACCGTCCTCCTAACGTAGACAATTACCGGTTTGGTTTGTCAACTTTACACTGCTGGATTCGTTTTTTTGAATGCTTACTCCATATTGGATACCGCCTGCCAATTAAATCTTGGCAGGTTCGTGGGCCTGAAAACAAAGCTATAGTCGAAGCAAACAAAAAACGAATCCAAGCAGAGTTCAGAGCCAAGCTGTCTCTAATAGTTGACAAACCAAAACCCGGGTATGGCTCCTCAAATGATGGCAATACGGCCAGAATTTTTTTCCACAATCCACAAACAAGTTCAGATATCACAGGGGTTGACAGGGAATTAATCGAGAAATTTGCGATCATCTTAGGAGTGTTAGCTAGTGGTTGCGCTATTGATATGGAAAAGTTTTGCGTCATTGCTGGAAGAAGCAAGAAATTTGTATATCCACCTTTATAAGTGGTACAACATGCCAAACAAGGTACATAAGGTCCTTGTTCATGGGTGTGAGATAATTGATGCATTTTGTTTGCCCATTGGAGAACTGTCGGAGGATGCGCTTGAGGCTCGCCATAAAGAGGTTAGGAAACATCGATTATCTCACACCAGAAAATGTTCAAGAACAGATACGAATAAGGATCTCATGCGTGTTCTTTTACTTACTTCTGATCCTTTTATATCCTCAAAAAGAAAGGTGAGCTCAAAAACCTATATGAAATGCAACGAGGCAGTTCAGAACTATTTAAAAAGCAAGAAAATGATGATTTAGGTATTGACTTAGGTACAATAACGAATGACACAGCACCGAGCAAGAAATCCTATTCCGATTAGAATGGGTATATTTGGTGTTATTTTTTTAATATAGTTTACATTATTATTTCATACATTACCTACTAAGTATAATTGTTATTTTGTTAAATATATTTTTTTAAATAAAAACCTAAATATCAATTTCAAATTATACAGATTTATTTTTTATTTGAATTATTCTTATTATTTTTTCAAATAGATAGACAAATTTAATAAATCATATTGCGCCCGCCACAAGTTAGCTACATATCTTTTAAATCATTCGGAAAGATCTTGAAAAATAAAAGCGTTAATTTTTTTAAACTTAATATTTTGACTTTTACAAAAAAAAAACGATTTATGCGAAATGCATCCCGCCTGCTCCCCCACCCCTTCTTATTATTTTAAATAATTTTTTTCATACTTTAGAAAGCTACTTGAATAAGTAATCGCCCTGCGTTTACAGAATTCAAATAGGACCACTAGTTTTTAAGATATCGAATTTTGTCCCTGATCCCTATAAAGGAACACACTGTGAGAGGGTTCAATCTTGAGGCATTTTTTTTTGAAATAGGCATCAAAGCGAGAAAATGCATTAGAAAGATCCTGTAATTAGTTAAAAACGCTTTCATGGAAGGTTTAAATTGTAACTATTCCAAGAAGTATCTTAACATATGTTAGGAAAAATATTCTGATTCGTTTTTGTGACATAATCTTATTAAAGAAAGACTCCCTTTTACGAGTCTCCATGCTGCCAGGCCCAAAACTGCGTTAAAAACAAGTATATTCAACATTCTAAAAATTGTTCTTTTCACTCCGAGCAGTTAATATTTATTGGGTCATTGTGGACAAAAGAGGTTCTTACAAACATTGTTCTAATGTTGATAGTTTTCGAGATATATTTTATATTTTTATATTAAAAAAAATGCGAAATATGGTCATTTTCGACCCCGAAAAACAATTGACATTTGAATTTTTTAATGTTGTCAAAGTTCCTGAATATTTTTCAAACATCCGCTAATAAAATCTCAAAACAATTAGTGGGTATACATATTGCGATTTGTCAAAAATGAAGTGGCAGAGTATAATTCCTGGACTATGCCTAAGAAAATAATTCGTGAAAAAAAATTATGCTGATGGTATGTATCATTTAGCTCCCAATTAGAGCAGGCTAAGAATTATTGTTTTTGGAAAAAGCCGCAAAACACCAATGAGTGTCCACCGCTATTTTAAAGAAAGAGAATCTATATCGTTGACATCAACTCTGGAGATCCATCAGAGAAAATCGAACGAAAATCTTTTAACCTTGGTAACCAAAAGCGTGCAAAGGTACAACATCAAAATCATTCGAGTATTCCAGTTTTTGCCTCATAAATCGAAGGTTTGACAGTGCTGGCATTTACGGTTACAAAAGGGTTAGCTAATAATGGATTTAAAACTTGAAACGATGGTCAAGTTATGCGCCGAGAATCAAAGTTTCCTTATCAATCCGCAGAATATGCGAATGAATACTACAGCACTTATTAAGTCGTGAGAACCCGCCTTTCATAACAGAAAAGTTCTTTAATGTTCACAAACCCATGAAAAATAGACATCTGTTGTAATTGTCGAATCAACTGATGCGAACATCCTTATTTATACCTGTACAGAAAACTTCCACCACGCTTTCTTCAGTCAACCGTTAAATTCAACAGAAGAAACTCATTTTCATATTTATTTTTCATGCCTCTGCAACTATAATGACTGCAGGTGTACGCCTAATCCAAACAACCGTGTTAAATCGTTGCTAGTCGTTTTTGGATTCCATTCGTTTTTCTTCGTATTAATCTTCCTCTGATACGCGTTTAAAAGAGCTGCAGCAATTTCAGAAGAATTTATACTACTACTCAAACATTATAAAAGTCCAAAAGAAATGATCGATCGATGGTCATCCATGAGATACACAGTAAGATTCAAATTTAACTGATGATTTGAGTGCTATGTGTAGGAGAGAGAAGCGTGTGAAATGTGTAAAACATATGTCAAAAAGAGAGAGAATCAGGTTGGACAGCGAATCCTTTCACCACGTTGCCTGGCAAAGTGAGCGCGGAAGGTCGCGGGAATCTGTCACTTTGCCAACATGTTACACCAGTTGCAATTATGATGAAGGCTGAGAATATGCGTTACTTTATTCTCTAAGCCCAAATAATCTCTTACACAAATAATGAAAGAAGCTACGCCTCTCACGTATAGTACAGGTACGTTGATCGATCCGATTTTTATAAACAAGCCTGAAGTCACTGTTCGGTCATAGATACTTATACCTCGGATCATAAACTCGTTTATTTTCATTTTGATATTCCGTCAGATAAAGAAAACAAAAATATACAAGTGACATATAAATCCGAACACCCAGTTTAAATGGTTTTATTTTAATAAAAGTTGGTGAATGTATTTATCTTACTGTAAATAACAAGTGAAAAAATTTTCAGCCTTATCAGTTGGACATTCCGGTTTTTATACTGCTTTTTTTTTAATTCACTAACGCTCTAAAAATGAATATTCCAGCCGCAGTAAAGAATCAACGTTGGCGGATTTTGGTTCTTGACATCCTTTACGATCGGTTACGATGCCTAGAGTACGGAGACCTGTACGATTTCGTCAACTTAGTGAGTTTGATAGGGGCCGTATAGTGGGACTTCGGGAAGCTGGACTTTCTTTTCGGGCAATTGCAGTTAGAGTGCAAAGAAGTGTAGACACTGTGGTTAGGTGTTATCAGGCATGGCTTCGAGAAGGCCGTACGCAAAGAGCAAGGGGCACTGGACGCCGCTGTAGAACAACAGACCGTGAAGATCGCCGCCTAAGATTATTGGCCTTAAGGGACCGTTTCTCCACTACCAGGTCCATTGCAAATGAATGGTTTGCAGAACACGGAAGACCTATTGGCATGCGAAGTGTTTACCGACGAATGAGAAGTTTTGGCTTGTTTTCAAACCGGCCACACTGGGTCCTCCCTTTAACTCGAGAACACCGACGTGATCGCCTTGAGTGCTGCAGACAACGGTCACTCTGGGATCAGGAATGGAACAGTATTGTCTTTAGTGACGAGTCTCGATTTTGTTTAGGCATGCACGATGGTCGTGCCAGGGTTAGAAGGCGACGTGGTGAAAGGAGGAATCCACAGTTTTTTGTTGAAAGACATGTTCATCACACTGTTGGAGTTATGGTTTGGGGTGCTATATATAGCTTATGGTTCCATGTCACCTTTAATCTGCATCAGAGGTAACATGAACGCGCAGCGTTATATCCACGAAGTCTAGAACCCCATCTTTTACCCTATCTTGACACCCTGGCAGATCCAACTTTCCAACAAGATAATGCCCGACCACATGTTGCAAGAGTCACAATAGCTATGTCCACACTGTGCCTTTTTTTGTTCAATAAGGGCATGCGCTATAGCGCAGTCAACAGCGCACGTGAGGCATGCCTTTAACGCAAGCGCGATGGCAGTTGAAAGCGAAGCGCGCGCTGTGATACACGTTTTCCGGCGTCGGGTGGATGTCTGTGCCTTATAGCGTTCAACAACAAGATGGCGGACGAAGAAAAAGATTTAACATTAAAGTTTATTGAAGATTACAGAAGCTTTCCACAACTCTGGGATCCAAATAATAAACTTTATACAAATAAAGTAAAGAGAAACGATGGTTTGCAAGTTCTGGCTACTAAATATAAAATGGATATCGATGGAGTTGAAAAAAAGATAAAAAGTCTTCGCTCGTATTTTTCCAAAGAGCATCAAAAAGTCATCAGGAAAAAGAGCGGTGCTGGATCCGATGAGATTTATGTTTCACCGTGGTTTGCTTACAAACAACTCTTATTCACTGCTGACTCGGTGACGCCGCGGGAAACTAGAGAAAGTAGTACTGAGGATGAAAAGGTATTTTAAAATTCATATTTATTTAGGCAAATCAATTTATTACTTTTTCCACAAAATAAATATGATAGGTATATAGTTATAAGTGTCGGGTTTGAAACGGTATTGCTCCAATATCTGACATGAAATAATTCATAAATTCATCTCGTATTTGGTTCGATGTATTTGATGACCTACGAGGAATTCTTTGAAGTGGCCTATAACCGCTGTCATCGGCAGTTATTACTCGCCATGACCCGGGAATGATTTCTCCAGTGCTTACATAATGATGGTATCGCGTCGCGGAATCGTGTTTTTAAAAACGACTTACAAGCAATTTGATACTTTATTCTACTATAAATATAATGTTTAGACTAACAACGATATGTTAGCAAACCTAACCTAAGTGAGTTCAATGCAAGAGTAATAGGATTAAACTGATGCCTGAAGGGCACAACCATCAATATATAACATAGGGTTGTTTACTAAGATAAGATATAATTATAGCTATTAGGAAGATATACGAGGGGCTCTCGCTATATAACTCCTCCCTGCCGAAGATGAGCAAACGGGGGATCCAAAGTTTGCGAATCCGGAACTGCTTCTTCTTCTCTACGTCTTCTTGCTTCTCTTAGCTTCTTTAAAATTTGGTAAATGATGTAACCAATGAAAGTTGATAGAAGAAGTAAAAATATGATTAGATTTGTCTTCTCTATGGGACGATCTGGGAACTGGATACTGTCTTCGTTGATTTGTTCTTGGGATATTTGAAGATTCT